ATGGAGCGCCGATAGCGATAATAAACGTCCCCAGAGTGTCCAGCAATTGCCGAGTGAAAGTTGCGTGTATCCGACGGCGGACAATGAGGCGGGAAACGGACTTAATTACTGTAGTTACGAGGAAGAACGGTCGTTCTTGCTCCAACCGGGGCTCCCGTCTGTCACGAATCGCACGGGAAACTTTTTTCCGCGCGAATGAAAGTTAGGCGGCCAAAAGAAGCGAGCGAGTAAATACTCGCCCGACGGATGAGATACGGGATGAAGGAATGCGATGTGAAAGGTGACGATCGATTATCCTTGCGAATCTCTTCCCAATAGTTGTTTTTCGAGCGCCGGCGAACGGTTTATGCGAACGATCGAAGGATATACCATCGCGTCGGCTGTAACAAAGACATCGGGGAGGGCTGAGCAGCTCGCGCCAAGAATTATAAAGGACGGAGTACGTTCACTCGCATATTTATGGTACCGTTAACCAGGTTACTTCGCGGGGTACCGCGACCGTTTATGAGTCTCGAGAGATCCTCGTCTACGATCGACGATTAACTTGTTCGACTATCGGCGTGTGCATCGGTAACAGCATTTATAGTTACCGTATTTTACCGGACACAATGTATAGTTCTTACGCGATGTTGGGGATACGTGTCGGAGGAATCGCAAGCGTAAAATTAATTGAATCTCTTCTACAGAGCAAAAAGTCGGAAACGGGAGATTAATGGCCATGAATGTACCGTGTATCTTTATGCAAACTCAAATGTTCAGAAGTATAATTAGAAAAATAGAATTAAGGTAAAGAGTGATTTCTCCTGAGATTATTACGAAAACCACTATAATTTGGGTGTCCTGTATACGTATGTTCTCACGTCATATGCATTCCGTGTAGTTTTACACTTTCAAACCCAAGCATAAATGCATGAAAATCCGCGAACTACTCATGAATATACAATGCCACATTTATCTTTCCCCCGATCATTCAAAATTTCTCGGTTCGCAGTGAACCAAGCTACGATTCCATCGATACTCGGTCACCCGATATATTGGTTCACCTGTCCAGCCCCTTCGGGCAGGTTCCTTTCTCCATCCGCGGCTCGTTGAAATCGAGACTATTCCGCGAGTCGACGGACGTCGACGGAATAAGCGATCGCCGAAAAACAGAGGCGGCGGAGGGAAAATTAATTGCGGTCGGGTACTCTCTACACCGATTCCTGCACGTGTGAACGTTTAAACGGGAACAAGTCCTCGCGTGGGATCGCGGGATAGAAAGTCGTGTCAGCGTTGCGCAAATTAACGAAAAAACATATATATTAAGCGAAAGATTACACGGAGACGTAATCGTAATTTAATTAAGAGTGGAGAGAATGAAAAAGACGCGTTATCTGGCGGCAGAGAACGCTTCCAGGATGGCGCAACGCGCGAGAAGATCCGAACGTTCCTTTCCAAGCGAACCGAAGGACGCGCTTCTCCAATTACCTCGGCCGTAGATGCAATTAAAAACGTTTCGTTCCCGCTCTAGCTGGCTGGCTGCGGAGCCGGCAGCCTCGGACGCCCGCGTTTCCGTTCTTTTTTTATTTTACTTTAATTGGGATCGCGAGCAATAGGCTACCGGTCCCGGCCGATATTCGAGTAATAACGAGGCGATAACGCGCGTCAATGACAGCGTTTCTAAACTCCGCTCGCACGATAGTTCTCAACCGGTGACCGTGAAATTCAGATTCGAAGCTGCGCACGTTTCCGTGTTTTTTCCGTTCCCCGATTTAATTAGAATCCTGGGCGATAGGCAATCTGCATAGATATTCCAAGTTTTCGCTGCTATCTTCGTTTAGACGCTTGAAAATTATTCAAACGACGCGCGTGCTGAATACGAATGCTTTCTGATATCGTTGGAGCATGAATGCAGACCGCGCTGCGTTGGGTTAGATTGAATTTGATTAAAAATTAAATCTGACAGCGGGAACGATGTTTCACCGGGATATTCGGCGTGAAAATGTTGCCTGTGATTAAGGCTACTTTAGATATGTCCGATAATTTGGCCTAGCAATTTAACAAATTATCACGTGTAGATGCTGACATTTCAAGAGACTTGGAGGCTTCTATGTTGCTTATCACTTAATCGAATTACTAACCAGTCGTTGTTCCCAACAGCTGGAAAATCGTTGTTCGAACGACCGTTTGACAGTGGAATCCCCTACGCAAACAACGCGAATTTTCATTCTCGAGTTTGTCGAGGTAATCAACGTCCCCAGAGAAATTTCTTCTATTGTCTCGCTGATAATCGGGCTCATTGCACCGTCACGCAGGGGAACGTGGTAGCTTGACAGCTCTGTTCCAGACCGAGCCGAAGAGAAACGAACGCCGAAAGAAATAGGTCTCGGGGAGAAAGGTAGGCAAATGAAATTCCACCTCTGATCCTACCGTCAGCTTGGGATCGGAGCAACCGGATCCGGTAAAGAGGATTTTTAAGTCCCCCGAGACACGCGTCATCCTTCGCTCTTTTCGATTATCGTTTCCTGGCTGCGTCTAGTTCACGATAAGCTCGAACAACAGTTCGTCCTCCGAGCTAAGTGCTCTCCCGGTTTCGTTATTGACTAAACATTCTGTCTGTGGGAGAGAGCGCGGTTGATTCATGCCCACCCACACATGTCTTCGATATTAATTCGGCGCGCGCGTGTGGCAACCCTTCTTCTCCCCAGCGATCGGAGACACGATAAATCCGGGAACGTTCCGTGGAATTGATCAATAAATTCTAATGGCTTCAACGACAACGACGACTACTCCTTCGCCGAACGATAGTCGAATCCCAGGAACTTTCGGGGGTTCTAGGTTTGACTATCGACCGCTCTGTTCAGTCACTCGAAGCTCTCCCTGATCATTTTGTAATTTGCTGCGTTCGCCCAACTTGTGTTCGAGACGCGCAGCTCTACTTTTTCGCCAAGGCCGTTCAGAAGTAACGAACGCGTGTTAACCAGTTCGTAGACTGGATCGAACGCAAGCCGTTACCCTGCCCCGACGCCGCCCGCGCGATACGATCCCGCTGGTCTGTTTACTTCTCGATCGAAGCGCGAAACGGAGGGACACGTGCGAGACCGCAGGAACGATTTAGCACGCCAACACGCTAACACCTCGCGTCGCGAGGCACTCTTTCAGCGACGTTCTTGCGTCCGCCTTTTTCAGGTTAATGTTCGGTAATAAGGACATTCCTCCGGCCGAGCGTGTCTCCCTTCAATTTAGAGCGCAGGTGCCTCGAAATCACGAATGTTCAGCCAAGAAATTCCTTCTGTGACATCGTGGAATACGCGTATACCGTGAACTACCATCGGAACGACTTGAATCTTCGGTTCCCTCGGAAACGAGCAGTAGCAAACAGAATTGAATTACATCCAGTGTGGTTCAATTTCCATTTTACAACCGCTACCCGTTGCATTTCATAAAATACGTTTACGACGTCTGCTACCGAAGTGAACGCTGATCTTCTTCGCTCGAATCGAAGTGAAGATAAATATCGCTTAATTGGTCGAACTCGCGCAGAACGTATAGCATCGCGCGAAGATCATCCTAGATCTCGATTTCCCTCGAGGAATCCGCATGTCCGTGGAAAGTAATCCCGTCACCGAGCTTTCAGGAGCGTCGGGCACCAACGTTTTTGCCCGCGTCTCAGCTCCGCGATCTTCGACTTTTAAAGAACCGACCGGGGAAACTACGATCCCGTTTATCTTTCCCGTGCGTTCGACCCGTCGAGGAGGATCCCGGACGTCGCGGGATTTCCATCGACTTCGAGAGATATCCGTGTTAGTGGGCAACCTAGAGATTTCTCGCGGCGAAATCCGTCCTCTCCCCTTTTTGGACGAATCTCACCGGGGACTGGAGGAAAAGCCGGTCGCCCGTCCCGAGGAGAGACCGATTTCGCGTCTCACGTCTTCCTCCCTTCTCTCCTCTCTCCACTCTCCTCTCTGTCTCTCTTTTCTCTCTTCTTAGCCTGTTATTCGCGTGGATGACATCAGTACGACGAACGAGGACGTGACTGAATTCGCCGACGATCTCACTCGCGATACCGTTACCGATGCGCCCGAATATTGGCCGAACGATCGCTACCATAGGCTGTGGTTAGACTGGCACGTTCCTCGGAACTCTGATTCTAACGAATAAACATAGGAAGATCGCTACGCGTATGTACGCGTTTAGAAATTTCTATGCACATTCGATTACTTTGATGTATTGAATGTGTAATTCATATCAATTCGCATTTGTCATAATCGAAGCTTATCCTGACAGATTTCCACGCGTCCGGGCAGATTACTTGCGATCGCGTCAGGCTTTAAAACGCGCCAGGCTTCTGGCTCTCGCCCTTACGCAATTTTCTGTAACTACGTTAGGTACTCGTAATAGGTATTTGCGGCCAATTATTACGCAATAAGGACCACGTAATAATAACGACATTTACGTAACGAAGAGTTTCAATTTCCTGCGTGATAGACGCTCGGATTATGTTGTGGTCGGCGGAACTAGGTCAACAAGGGTGATACTCAGAAAAGAGCGATGGAAAAATTCACGCTGCGCCTGGAATCCGAATACGAACGGATAACACGGAATCGTCGGGGATTCGTTTGTTTTATTATTCCAATTTCGTCGGTTGTTATACAACAGTCGCTGCATCTCGCAACGCAGAATCAGCGATACATTCTCCGCGAGCGAGAAGAAACTAAGCATTGCAAATCTGCCAAAACAAACAGTACAACAAACGGCTCTCGATCTTTCGAAATTTCCTCCGTTCGTGTTATACAAATGAAGCATACATGGACAGTTCACGCAGTCATCGATTAAATTCCATTCAAGTGAAGCTATTCAGGTTCAAACCCACTTCGCACACTCGAAGCTTTCTAACTAGCAACACTGCGAAATAGGAGAACTGACATCCGTCGTTGCGCCGAGTATGGTAGTTCCAGTATTAAAAACCCTCGGTCTCCCGTTAGAAACCGGGGGCAAGAAGCTGAAACGCTGAAACTCACCGTCGACGGTCGTCAGGTCGAGGGTCGACGAAGAGACGACCAGCCCAGCCAGCAGACAGAGTCCTGCGACCGCGCGCAGAAAGCATCTTTCCTGGATACGCATCCTACCGCATTCTTCTGCACCGTATCTCGCTCACGGAACGCCGCCAGCTGCCCGTGGCCAGGCCAGGCCTGTCCTGTCCAGCCTTATCCTGTCCCAGCCGACCGAAAAACAACTCTCTCTATCACTCGTGGAACCGGAACACTCGTGACGGCCGGGCACCAACGCGACAGCGCGCGCGTCTGTCGCACCGGGTGGATGTCCTCTTCGAGCGGACGGTGACACTCGCGGTGTACACAGAACCGACGATCAATCAACAGCGCGGCGAGGTGAGGGAGTCGAAGACACACCCGAACGGCAGTCGGGAACGTGGGGAATTCGGGGAACACGGGGGAAAAGGCGATCGGACGATCCTCCGGCTGGCAGAACTGGGTTCACTGGGTTGCTCACTGTTTTATGGCTGTCGTCTTCGACGTTGGACTGACTGTCCGCTCGCGATCCGTGCCGAGGCCGGAGGTGAAGTGCACCGGTGAGCGGGATCTACCTCCTCCTTGGCGGTGTTGGCTCGTTCGCCGACTCGGTTGCCTTTCATTCCTCCTCTCCGGCCAGCCGGGAAATTCTCCACGCTCACCTTGCCTACAGGCCCGCCGAGCGATCCTACAGGCTGATCGCCGGACACTGCTGGCCTGCACTCGTTCCAGCGGCTCCTGGTGGGGGGCACATTAAGTGGGGACGCACCGTTTGATGCACGCAGTCGTTTGTTTCAGTATATCGTAGACGGAGAAATGAAATGTAATTCGAATTTCCCGATATCGATGCGTGTTCCGCGACTGTGTTGGCGATGATCTTTCGCGTTGCTACTTATTTTTCTTCGTAGCAACGACAGACATTCCGTCAAAGTCGACCGTTAGCGGAACTTGACGGTTTCCGAGCGATTCGGGCGATTCGACCATTAATCGATTGAAGTAGAATTAATTGTCCGTTCCTGGTTCTTTGACTAGAGAACGATGAATGTCGTAGCAGTATTTTCGTGAACAATGAGCTTCATTTGGAATCTATTTGATGCTTCATCTGAATTGGTAAAATGGTTTGCTTGCGCCTCGACGCGCGCGGTGCAAAGGTCAACCGACAATGATATACCGGCGACATTGTGGTTTGTGTCTAATGGACGCGTACTGCAACAATAACTAGGCTAACCGATAATCAAGGTTTTACTCTATTTCTTCCCTCTAATTCGTTTATGGCACTTTTTCTCGCGCTCGGTTGGCCACAGTGTTCCACTGGGCCGACACAGACAGATTTCCTTACGGCTTCTGGGAAAGTGTAATTGACCGTTTCCGTTTGCCAACTTGAAATTTATTGAATCACACTTGTTTTATTCGAGACCTTCCCGTCCCGTGCTGAGGAGCGTATGTTTTGTTTGCGTCTGTGCGGGCAGTGTTTAACGAACGTAATTACGCACTTAAAACACGATTAATTTTATTCCTGCGCGGCAGTCCTTACACTCGTTATCTTACACGGTAATTTAGAAGTATAAATGTCCCTCTCTTTGCTCCTCCCGTAGCTTTAACGATCGTCTGCGCGATAAAGGCGGATTATTATTAACATCGGTAAAGGAAAAATAAAACTTTTTCTGACCGTCTAAATATTACACACTCGCATTGGTCCCATGCTACCGCGCTTCGAATCTCTTCCCTTCTCCTCTTAATGTTTCAGAAGGTTTCCCGTTGAGGACGAAGACTGTTCGAGGAGTTAATCGACGATAAAAACCGTAGCGCGCCCCTGTTGGCCCAACTTCTCAACGCCTCATTGTTAATTGGACTGGATTCAACGATGCCGATCTGTAGCTTTCCTCCGGTCACCAACTGAACCGATTTCGCGTCATGAGAAATCACTGAAATTCCTTCTCAACGCTTTTCCGCGTACCGATACACCGTGGTCGCTCAAGCATTCAGCATCGGAATGATACGAAAGTAATAAAATCAGCAGCGCTCTTCAAATTTTTATAAATTCGATAATTTTCCCATCGCCGGCTTCATTTTCGAACAACCGTGTCCTTCATTTGCACGCTTCCTTCTTCCGCATTTTGCATCTTCATAAGATTATTTCCCTGCCGCATTCCTATCTTCGCGAAGTTTGCCTTCACGATCGTGACGTTATCTTCCGGGGAAGTTTCTTCTCTGAAGTTTCTCGTCTGCGCCGGACTTCGGATCGCCCGCGGGGGGAATGTTTTCCAGTTTAATTGCGCGCGCGGAGCTGTTCGCTCGCCGTTAAATCGCCGCTCGCTCAATCTTCTCGCTGCTGACGATATTAATCCTTATCCATCATATCTCACCTCCCTCCTGATATTGTACGCTTCTTACCATAGCGGGCGTATGCAACTAACTTGTCAGGCGACGTATCAAACCATTGAGACTGCTCTAAGAAATATACTTAAAGTACTTCCTGCAATTGGAAGAGTCGAAATGTATGATTTTCAAGTAACAAGCTGCTCTTTCGTTTGAAGAGCGTCGGTGCCCATGGTACCTTGTACATTCTCATGAACATCGTCGAAGCAACGATTCGGCTGCCACTGAAATTTGAGAATATGAATACGTACCGAGGGTTCGACTGTCCACGAGTCGGATCGAAGGACAATAACGACGCGACGCGTCGCGCGGTCGGCGAAAGCGGTGAAATTGAAAGTGAACGCGCGTCGCCGCAGTGTTTCCTTCACTCCGCATCCGTTGGCCGACGACGACGCGGTTGTCCATCGTAGTCCGCTCGAACGGAACGCGCCGGGGACGGCAGTCTCTTCGGAAACGACGTCTTCGGTGGAATTTCTCCTAGAATGTAGATTGTGAATATGCAGACGCGCGGTCTGACACGGTTGCGATAATTCCGCTTGGGAACTCTCCGCGGCGTTCTCTCGCCGCATGCTTTTTCTTTAATGAACCAATTAGCACACAATTGTTCCGACTGCGATGCAACCGCGTTGCCTTGAATTACACGCGGACGACGGGTCGTATCAGTTTCGAATACATTAGAACGATTCGAGGAAAAATGTTCAGCTCGGACTCCTTCGTTGGAGGAATATGTAGAATAAACGGTCGACGGATAGCATTTTCCTAATCGATCGACAGATAATAGATATCTACTATAATTTTGGAGTTTACGCAGTTACTAAGTGCGATGAGGCTTCTGGTTCATTTCGAATGCAACGGAATCCCTCACCAGAGGGAGCAGAGTTCTACTTGATTCTAGTTCCTGTAAATTAGTCTATTACAATGTTGACTCTATTCCCAGTTCTACCGTTTCCGCCGGCATAATCGATTTCGGTTGGCTGGGCGAGGGCAGCTTTTACGATGATTGCGCTCCGTCCGTGAAATTCGACGCAAGATTATACCAAGAACAGGCGTGACACTTGTAGAAAACGGATCTTCGGATTCTAGATGACGGGGAGGTAGCGCGGCCAACTTACTTGGGTATTTCCAGACGGAAATCATCTGGTTTTATAGGGTGCAGCGAGCTATTCCCTGAATTGTCGTGAGTGTTTCATTTAAAATCGTACCGTAGGGTCAGTTAGACGTTAACCTTCCAGCCGCGGGTGACCTGGTATCCACGGTCGACTTTGTTCATTTTCGAACCCACGTCGCATTGAATTTTTAAAGGATTCTTAATTCATGTATCTATGGCGTCATGCCTCGAAGTTGTAATTATTCGTTTTTAATTACGCGTTTCCGAAGAGAGGAGTCTGGTAATTGCTGGCAGCTGGAGGATTAAGAAATCACACTCGAACGTTGTTGGATTCACCTGCGCGGTTCGAGCGATCGATCTCTTTGTTCCACATCGAATTCGTTGCGACAATAGGGCGTGCAAAACCTCCTCCGAGAGAAAGCGCCAGTGGGTCAGGGTGACGACACGCCTCCGCCTCCGCCAAGTCTATCAACGCGCTTCTCGAACGTCAGTTCGACGGTATGCGTCACCCATTAGAGGATTATATTGGCTCGTGTAACTCATTATCGAATTATATTATCAAGGATATAAAAATTACAAACTTCGTCTATTCGCGTAATGAAAATTGAAGGTTACCGATCAGTTGCTAAGTAGTCCGTGCTGTACAAAATGATTTTCGCTTGCGAACTAACAATTTTGTGCGGATAAATTCGATTTTTCTGTTTATAACGTTGGAATCGAAACGCGAAGTATCCATTGTCATGCAGACGACTTCATAATACCTCCATAGTGTAAAAGAAAATATAACCACCATATGTCTACCTCTATACCTTACAACTTTTGTCCGAAGAATATCTTTGTATCGCACATAATTTTTCAGAAAACGACCAAATTTCTGATCAATCGCGGATCAACCATTGACAGGCACCGAGCGTTCTCCAGGGAGAATTTCTACGATTCTTTTCCGGCGTTGTGGTTACTTGTTCCGTAGGTGTTTCGTGCGCCGCTGTTCTTCGTTTTATCCTCCGATCTAAAGAATTGTGAATCGACGCACGTATCTTTATTAAAGCAACGAAGTAACGCGGCGGATTATTCTTGGAAAGAGTGACGTGGCTGAAGGCGGGTCCTGTTCAAAATTAAATTCTGAACGTGTTTACACGATTACCACAGCAGCTGGTTCCCCGTGAGTCACCCGGTACATGGAAAACGTTCGGTCAAGAACAGTCACAGCGAACTGTACGCTAAAAAATTTCAGCCAGTTCCTCTACCTTCGGACCAAGAATACTTTTCTATTTCCAAGAGTCACTGAAATTCTCTGCTTCTCGTTTCTCCTCGTAAATACCACCTAAGGTTCTCCGAATCCTCTGCTCTTTCGAAAATATTCCAAGTCCAATGCAGTCTCGATGGAACCGAGAATATTACATGCACAAGGGAAGAGACAATAATTAGAGAACCTCGGCCAGCGGCTGATATACTGTAACAATAAGTTAGAATGGAGAAATCTTTCACGAAGAAAAAGTGAGTGGATCTAGTGAGGCGTGCGCTCGCGCGAGCCTGCGCGCGGCCTCACCTCCCTAATGATCCATTGCGTCTGTGTTTGTGTCTTATGTCACGCAGCCGCTGAACTGGATTCGAACTCCTCGAGGCTAGAAAATCGTTCTCCAACGGCGCGTTATCTCTCCGCGCGAGCCTCGATCGCGCACCTTGTAATTTACCTTTTTGCTCATCCGCCGGTGAAATTCTTCAAACTGTCGGAATTACTGAAATAACGGCGAGGCAATTAGTCCTCGACTGAAATTTTGTCTATCTACCAGATCAATTTACCGAATTGTATATAGGGTGGCGCACATCGTACCATGTGACATTCGAGCGTGGGCCAACAATTGGTACACGGCATGAACGTGTTAACGCGCAGATTAGCGTTGCATCGGCCCCTTTGCGCAACGGATCGAATTATTAATCGCTTCGATAAACAGTCCGCCGTATTCCCCGTCGAGTTTATAACTCGAGCCACGGGAGGCGAAGATCAAAGCGCCAAGAAAGGTCCGAAGGATTCGGTGAAAGTATGCCGAACGATCTGCATGTAAACGCTTCCCGATAATTTGTAGGCCGCGCTGCGGTCCATTATCGTTTTAAATTCTCGTTGCATTATTTATCACGCGCTGCACCGCGTAGGTCGAACAATGAGCCGGCTGCCTCGAAATAGACGAACGAGGCCCATTGTTAACCGATTCGTTTTACGTTCGATTTCATCGCGACGTATGCGAGGCTTCCAGAGGACAGATAATCCTGCCTTAACCTGTTAATAAGCTGGGCAGCCGAGTTAATTCACCGATAATACACGCTATGTCTATTTCTCTCGGGCATCTTCGATGTTCTCGTTTATTCGTTAAATCAATTAATCTCTATAGACGCGATAAATCGGACCGTGGATCTAATATATGCAGATTCATACATCTTATCGAGCGAATCGATGCAATTTCAGATCATTTGATTTCAGATTTACCCTTTGCACTCGGAAGTCTTTCGCTAGAAATATTCAACAGTTTCCAACGAGTTGCAGACGACATCCTTGGAAACGAATTGAACGAAGGAATATACGTAAGTTAAGAGACAAAGTTGTTATGTCAATAGTTCACGTATTTGTGGATTGTAAGAAGCTTAATATCACACGTAAGACTTTACGATTTTGATGTATCAAATCGTACGGCGATTGAGTCGCCTCTCAAGTGCAACGGGTTAATGATTCATCGGGTCGTTTTTAGTTACCTTTGATTGCCCCGACATACCAGTGACAGGAAAATCAACCGGTTAACAGGTTAACGAGGATCACTCGAGGACGGCGATCCAGATCAAAAACGGAGTGGCCGCTGGCGGCAGGGGACCGGGCTGGACGGCAACGATACGGTAATTGCTTGACGGTCGAAATTTTCCGGTGGCCGGGGTCGTTGCAATTATCGTTGCCCCGGGAATTTAACGTCTCGCGCCGCGATGCTGCCGTTAATGATGCAATTACGGCCGCCGAATTACGCTCGATTTATTTAACGGCAGGCCGAACAGCTGTTTGTCAGTCGCTCGCGCCCCCGTGCAATTTCTCTGCAGGCAGTTTTTCCAGCGCGAATTTATACGGACAATAAGAAACGGGCCAATAAAACAAGAGAAATACGCAGGCGTATATTCGCACGGTAGTTGAAGTACCCATTAGAAGTTGCTTTCAGTTCCGCGGCTGTTCCGCGCTTTCGATCATTCCCCAGAAATTATCGTCGTAGAAATTCTAACGGTGGAATATCGGCAGCTGATCGCGAACGAAAAGCAGAAAGTCGGCGAAACTAATTGCCAGCCGATAATTCGGATACCTTGCATTTAACGAGGAAGCCTCGCGTTTCGTGTATTTATCGTAAATTCGACGACGCCGCATTGAATTCGGTGCACGTGAGAATTTAGTCGAGTTTAATGGTCTACCTTCGCCACTTAGATCCCTGAAATTAGATCGGTTCGACTCGCTTCGATTGGAATAGAGAACAGACAGTAGGGAGAAGCACTTAATTTCTCAACTTTTAATAAACCAAATACAACTTTCCCTGAATGAAGAACCATAAATGAATGCGCGCAATCTCTTTACGAGATGGCAACGTCCGCGCAGTTCTTGAAGGTCTCCTGTGGCCCGCAGCCCGCAGCTGAAGTGCCATCCCCGCAACTGCCCCAGTTGTTTCCGGCGGTGTAGGTCCATCTCAGTACGCACTGCTCGCAAGCGACATCGGATGGAAGACGAACCCCAATGTTGAACTCCATCTGACTCGAACTAACTGGGACTTCGTAGGAGCCGTCGGCTAATTGAAGCGGATGCTGATTGAAACAGCTCTCTGTCTCCAATTGACCTCTGTTTTGCAGTTGGCAAAGGTGGAAGGTGAATTTTCCACGATGGTTCGCGGTCAGCTTTACGTTCACATTGATCGTTTGTCCTCTCGAGTACCTGATTTCATTATTAATTGGCATTAGCGATACGCTTGACGTTTGCTTAGGGTTGAGCACCGAGAACTGTTCCTTACCGTTCCACGATGTATCCAGTTCCATAGATTCCGCCATTCTCGTTCGGTCTGGGCTGAGGAAGAGCGAAGTTGTCACCGCATAGGCCGCAGCGCCCGCCATTTTGGTCGTGTTGCACCTGCAATGGACGGATCGTTGGAAAAGTGATATAACATTCTTACAGCCGTGTCTCGCGTGTTGCGGTCGTCGGGCGCTCTGTTTTTTTGAACGCTCGGATCAATTAAAGCAACGACCGAGATATAATCAGAATTAATGGAAAATTCGTTCGCTCAATGTTTAGTGTAAACCGCATAATGCCCGCGAGTATTTTCTTTGAAATTTTCGTCCAGTTCTCGTTCTGAACGATGTTCCATAAAGAAATTAACAAACGTCAGGAAAATTCTGAAGATCTTACGCTGAATCCTCCACAGTAGAGAGCACTGTCGTCATAGTTCGGCTCAACGGGAAATCCTTTCCTCCAGGCGCTACTCCTTGAAACAGGGTCCATCATCATTCCATGTCCGTGGATCTCCAGAAGCTGGACACCAAGCAGACCGGTGACCAGCAAGATCTTCGCGATAGCCATGTGGTAAATTTAGTGACAGAATCGATCAGCAAACTGTTGGAACTCGCGGTCAATTCACTTCTGTCACGTTTATATATGTCATATTGTATTTATACAGATATACATACAGATCTGGAAAATCCACGATTGGTCGGTGATAATCATTACTATTGCGATTGCACGCGATCGACGGTTTCTCAACTGATAACATCACGGTGACAGCTTATCAGGAAATCTGTCCAATGGCCTGACATTGCGCTGAACCTTCTTGAGAAGTGATTCTTTATCGAAAGAAAGCGAGATTCGAATCTGCGAAACGTGTCGGGAGATAACCTGATGCAGGAAGTCTTTCTTGGAGTTTCCGGGGCGCAATTGGATGAACGGCCAGAATGAATAACGATATCTCCTTTCTTTCGAACCTCCTATCGAAACATATAATTTAATCGAGTCATTTAAAGGGAAATCTTCGATTAAGGGGAACAGTGACAACGTACCTTTGTCCGTGTCATATGCAGTCGGAAACTAGAAGCGTTCTTCTACGATTAACAACTGACTGATTAGAGAAACAATCTATTCTTTACAGGTATTATTTAATTTCAATCGATTAGACCTGCGCAACGAATCCAATGTCTATCATTGTTTTTTATTCATGCCATTTTCATTATTCAAAAACAATCTATTTTTTACAAGTATTATTTAATTTCAATCGATTAGATCTGCGCGACGAATTCAACGCCTATCGTTATTTTTTATTCATATCACTTTCATTATTCAAGAGCGAATTTCTCTTTTACACGTGTTATTTGATTTTAGTAGATTAGATCTGCGTGACGAATTCAATTTTATTCATATCATTTTCATCGCTCAAAAACAACCTATTTTTTACGAGTATTACTTAATTTCAATCGATTAGATCTGCGCGACGGATTCAAGGCCTGTCGTTGCTTTTTATTCATATCGCTTTCATTATTCAAGAGCAACTTCTCTTTTACAAGTGTTATTTAATTTCAGTAGATTAGATCCGCGCGACAAATGCGACACGATGGGATCAATAGTACGGATGTACAAGGCAATAATCAATGGTTCCAATATAGAAGAACGTACAATCGCGAGCATCGTTTCTTTTCGCGCACGCAAACAATATTTAATTATGAAGTCCTGTCTTGCAATTCTTACACGTCGCTGTTACGAAAAGAAGTGCATCGAAAGAACTATTATCAGTCGTCGGAACAATAGTTTATCGCTGCCGTGATTCTATATTATCCGATGCTCTTCAATTATTCCAAGAAATTTCAAATCTATAATGCTCGACCGGAACGCCTTGGATATGTAAAACATTTTTCTAATCATTCGCAGAAGACGAATCGTTCTTATCGCAGTAGATAATGCAGAAGTCGCCATGATCAATCGCTGGACACGTCTGGTTGCTCAAGAGAATTATCGTCGATCGATACTGCAGATCGTTCCGGTGACACGATTTTCCTGGGAAATCCTCGCACAGATTTCATCGGGTTTCAGGGTTCGTGGGTCGAATGACAGAGGAGCAAGGGGGCAAATATACAACGTACGACATTTATTCTCTCGTTTCCCTTAAATCGATATCCTACGGTACGGGTAGATACAGAGGATCCTATAAAGGTACACGAATTTCCGTGAACCCGGAAAATTCGAGGACATACACCAGCGTACCCTCGCGTCCCTTCTATTCCACACTTTCCTGTGCGCGCGCGCGTGTATGTGTGTGTGTACGAGTGAGTATGTGTACTTGTGTGCGTGTGTGCGTATGCTCTCTCGCCCTTTCTCTCCGCAATGCTCTGCACGGGATTCGCGCCACGTCGCATCCTTTCGCGCGTTTAATCTTTCATTCGAACGTCACTCCTGTTTCCCGCTTTCGACGGACCGTCCACCGTCGCCATCGATTTTTTAACCTGTTGACCGGCCAATTGCTCGACTACGAGCGCTACCAAGCACGAAGAAAAAATATTCGCAGCTGCACCGTCTGTCCTCGTGATATGCTTAACGTTGGAACTACTGGATGAGTCGAAACGATTAGTTATAAATGTCTTTTCCATCGGTTATCGAGGAAACTATTATAATCATTAAAATACGAGTCAATAGAGATCTCGACGAACGCGCTCTTGTAATTTGCATACGAAAATATGAAGCATTCGATCCGGTTGCTCGATGCTTTCAATGTTAAACGCGATCTGATCCATCGTACTGCAATTAAACAATGAATCTATACAAGACAACGTCGAACAGTCGATAGAATACAGGTGAACGATGAACAAACTCGTCTTTCATGGTCAACAGGTTAAAGGGCTCTCGCGTGCGAGTGCTTTCGGACAGAAGTAGCGTCCCCACGCTTTTCTTTAAATTTTTATTCCATTTTTCTTCTTCGTTCTTCCCTAATAAAGAATTTCCCACCGATCATTCCCGTTCGAATTCGCGCGTGCACCGATCGTAAAACACTCGACCATCGTCGAACCGGGGAACGCGATATTTACAGTGTCCACGGCCGCCATTCGAGCACAGAACCGATCGACGTCGAAGAGAACGTCGCTGGAGCGGCGATTGATAAATAATTCGAGTCACAGGCTCGTCCAACTTTCGAGCACGTACCCGTGAATCGCTCGAATCGATCTTCGAAGGGGAATCGACGTCTTCTGAAGAGCGGCCCCCGTGAGATTTTTCTCCTCGATCGGTTCTCGATCGACATTCCGGGCGAGGGAGTCGCGGTCGAGCGTCCCGTAGCTTCCTTTATCGATAAAACTAGTCTCGGTCGCATTCTATGTACAGATCGACGCACGATCGGTGATCCCACGCGAGATTCGTCGACTCCGCGTGGCACGCCACTCGTGGTACCCTTCCCTTAAGCAACGTAACATAATTAGATTAGGATTTAACACTGGAACTACCGTTCCAGCCGGAACGACTGACTTTATCCTCTGAAAGACAGATCTCGTCGGACTGGCGGGATCGAAGATTCATGTATAGAATATAAAATTGCGAACGAATAATTTTATCATTCATGTAACCGAAGCTTAATACGTAATTCTCCTAGCGTTCGAGAGTTCGATCTATTATTCGGCTGTCTATGCTGAGAGTCTTGAACACTTTGGAAAATAGTCGTCCGAGAAGAGTCGAATATTCCAAATTATTTCGGAATTAGTTTCGTAGTGTACTATCGGTAGAAACTTTGAAACGTGTAATATTTTCATTTTTATACGAGTTATATATTAATTCATATTAGATACTCGGTAGTTCTAGCGTTAAAGGAGCGTTATTAACTATTTTCTACATGACGCGGGCATTGAATAGCCTATCGCCACGATTTTAACGGATCAAATTCCAACGGAGATCCTTTATCGCGCTCCGAACGGAATAAATTTCTCGACGTCGGAGACGCGGCTCGAAAGACGATAAGAGGGTTGAAGGGTGCCACGAAACGACAGACTCCGACTGAACGATTCTTAGAGCGAAATCCAACGACGAATTCGCGAGCGCCTCCTTCGAATATCTCTCTTATCTTACAGCGGACTCGCTGGATCCGTGATAATCACTCGACACGCGACCATTTTCGAGTGTCCTCGCCAAGGAGGAGGATGATCCGTCCCGATTCTCCCTCGTTCTTCCCGTTCCCGTGCTTCAGCGCCACTTGTCGAGTATTGCCATGGCTCGCTGTTTGCCTCACGCTTGACGGTGAGCGAGGATGCGGCTGATTATCCTTGCCTTCACGGTAAATGCAAAGGGAATAGACGATTCGTGGGGTCCGCTCGAAGGGACTCGGACATTCACCAGTTAACTGTGTCCGACGAGTACACTTGTCATCTCGACACCAGAACCACCGAGCAATTAGATTGATTTCTCTATAATTTCTCGTAGAAATACACGAGTTTGTTCGATCGCCTCTCGCGAAACATCTATATTACTTCGATCATTGTAAAACGAAAACTCCGAGATAGATCGCTTTGACTCGTTCAGTAGTTCCACTGTTAAAAATAATACCAATTCCCTCAACGTTTAATAACCCAGTTCCTCAAATAAACGCGTGATTCCTTTTCGCTTAGTTTCCCATTCTAACATGTATCAGGTGGATCTGTTCTGTGTTAGAACTGCAACGGACTTCCACAGTTAACCGGTTAAATGTTTCCCGGACCTCGACTTGGGCTCTGGCCGCGTTCGATCCCGTAGAAAAAATATTCCTACATTTCTAACGAACTTTCCGCGCGGCTGCAGTTCCCGTTCACGGAAACGTTCGAGCTCTTACGTTACCTCGTTCGCGTTAGCTCAGCTCGCAACGCTGCCTTGTTCGACTTAAACGCGGCTGCATGAAGTAGCGTTCTCTACGCGGTTAACACACGGATGTGACTCGTGTGCATTTTATCGTTGGCAATACATCGGCAACCACTCGCGGCGCTCGCGAAAGAACAGAAATCCCCTTTCCTCGCGGAGGGTGGACCGTTTTCGAAAATCCGCTTCGAATCAACCGTTTCCTTCGTCGATCGCGGAATTTCCAGCGGATCGAAGGGAAAATTTGAAGCGTGCAGGACCGCGTCGAGTCGCTCGCTACTTCTGAAAATCGATTTTGCGTTTCTTAAGCGGCAGGGCTCTCCAGTGGAACGTTGGCAGCCGAATCTCGAGTAAACCGGAACGAAGGGCCGTTAAGTTCGATCCTTTACGAGGAAAATAGGGGCGGGTGAGTGAGAGGGTGGCGGGGCCGTCGAGTCTCGAATCGGTAAGAAGCTTTTTTGCTTTCATTCTGACGATATTTATATTAACGCAGGGCTCGCGCAGTAATTCGTCCGCGTTGGTTTCCCTTCTCTCGAAATCTTTGATACCTTGACTCTCCAACTTACCGATTCACTCTTTAAAGGAAACTGTTTAAAGAAAAGGCGAACAATTTCGCAACTTACCATTCCTCGCGAGGATACTCGATCACCGGCAGGAACGTCGAAGGAATGTACAATTGATCGAGCACCGAAATCAACGGCACGAACCTTTGCGTCGAGGCAACATTTAAATTGAATGGGAGGGAGAGGAAGATGAAGGTTCACGAGGAACTGCGGGAGAAGCTCAGCTGTTCGAATATGGAACGAGCGATCGGGATGAGGCTAAATAAAGGACACGACTTTCCTCTGCGAGTCATAAAGTCTGACGCTGGATAATATGCGCGAGAGAGGGTTGGCGTGCGTAATCGACGCTGGCACAGGTGCTGGCCGACAACCCCGTATTATCCTCCCCTCGCTACCGTCGTCTCCCCGTTCCTGGGGGGAAGAAGTTTAACGAACGGGTTACGTAAACCGAACAGATAAACGTAACGCGCCGCGGTAACGGGACAGGCACCGACCGCAATTTCTTCCCGGCGGTTTCTTCTCGGCCAACGTGTATTCCTCCCTGCCCCGCGTCCTCTTCTCTCGCATCCATTTTCGTTACTCCTCGACTTTCCGCGAGAACTCGCCGGATTTTTCAAACTCGGAACGCCGAAGGGCGCGTTAAATTAATTTTCCTAGCGTTCGCCGACGCGGTACAATTTCGAACTAATTCAATATTCATTTATAAGAAATTAATCGCCGCTCGGTAGTACTGGATTATTAAACGGAATCTCTGGAAAGTTTCCGCGTTTCGAACTCGCTGGGACGCTCCGTGTGCATTCGACATCGTACTTTTGCCGATGAAGGACTCCTCGATTAATTCTCCGAGGAGAATAGGTCTACAGTGGTTCGGTCGGTATCGAGAACCGATTCGAGAGACTCGTTCAATTATACACTCCCTGGTTCCTCAGCGATCGGCCCACCTGCGTTGCAATCAAAGATGAATGGTAAAATATCCTCGCTCGTCCCTTCGATCCGCGAAACTCCGCTTCCTTGACTATTCATCTATTCCCGAGCAATTTCGGGTAGCTTCGCTGATACGCAAAGAGGGACGGGAAGAGGAAAAAATGAAAGGAGAGTGATTTCGAGTAGCTCTATCGCCGCGTGGAGCGGTATACGAGAAGGGAAAAGGATAAGATGGAGCAAGGGGGCGAGATTCAGCGAAGCTAAGTGAAAAATTATGATGGCCGTTCAAGCCATTTCGAACAGCTGCAACAAAGAGAAGGAAGGAGTCGAAATTGAGCGCGGCTAAATAAAAAATCGCCTAATGTCCCTTTCTCGAGTCATTCGGAGCAACTCGATCGACGAAGGAAGCATCGCGGCAGAGCAAAAGAAGAGCGGAGCTAACCAAAAAATCGCCATGTTCCGCGAGAGGCATCGCGACGGTGCCTCGAAGCCGCACAGTGCGGTCTGTGGACAAAACCTCAAAATTCGACTATTCGCGTAACGAAAATCGAAGATTAACCATGTTACTAACCAGTCCTTGGTTAATGGTTACAAAATAACCTTCATTCCAAGAGTAACAATTTTGTGCAAATCAATTCCGTTTCTCTATTTCGGACGTTGGAATCGAAACGCAAAATATCCATTTCCATTGAAAAACTTCATAATCTCCCTATAACGTAAACGAAGTATAATCACCGTATGTTTATCTCTATACCTTACAACTTTTGTCCGAAGCATTTGCTCGTATCACTCGTACTTTTCAAGTTATCGAGTTTTGTCCAGGGAACGGGCGTTTCGCCGCACTGTGCGCCGATCGAATCGCAAAACCGGTAGAAGATCCGTGAACGGGCCGTGCAGGAATCGGCGCAGGCTGGCGCGTGGCCAGAGGGTCATTGGAAATTGCTCGGAGACATCGCGCAGCCTATTGTCGTCGGAGACGGGGAACGGATCGGTACCACGTTGGGCTAGATCGAGGATCTACTGCGGGCTCTCGATCCTACTTCATAGAGATCGTTCGGCGACTCGTCTCCGGGAGGTTGTTGCTGCCCGTCGCTCGCCGTTGCCCCGTCGTCGACGTGGAGTTCGTCGGCACCGTTGACGGAATTTTCTCCGCGCTGGCGACCGTCGACGTCGACCTCTTCTGCGAAAAAGAAAGCGAACAAATGTTTCTGTAGACGTCCCGTTGTTAGGTTTCTGACGAATTCTCGTGTTTCTGATACCCCGTTACGCACAAGACTTCTTTGTTCGTGAGTAACGACGCTGTTAGTATTGTTATTTGCGGAATACCCCGTTCCCACCGCTTAGGAGAACCGACTCTGGTCACTTTTAGCAACGCCTACCTCGCCGATGTAACGAGGTACATTATTCCCTGTGCTTTTGTTGCTGGAGTTGGATCATGCATATTCTTCCAGCGTGTTTGCAGTTAATTCACAGGAGGGTATTACCTGTTCGACAGAGACGTACCTATAGCACGCGAATAATTGCAGTTTCATAGGGTTTAAACTGAACTGAGAGGAGAATTATCCTCGATATTCTGTTTGTTAATGCGGTGCTTTGCGGTCGGGCTCCACGTCCGTTCCAACAATCGCCTGAATCGAGTGTTCACCGAAGCTAATAACGCTCGAGTCAATAACTCTGTTGAATGTCTTTGAACGATTCTTCCGTGAACTTTACTCTTTGCTCGTGAACGGGGACCGTTTAACCCTATGAAATTATCGCTGGATCTATAAGCTGACCGCGGGGAACCTTCTAGTAACTAGAAATCTCATGACAACGTTTAGCAATCTCTAAGCCTATCACCACGCTTGTCTTCTATCGCGCTCCTACGCTTAACCCTTTGCGAAAATTCTTCCAAACATGCGAAACCTTCGACATATAAAGCTTAATTACATATCAGTCGCTTAATCAATAGAAGAAAAGGAAACTACGGTCGTATCTCTTGCTGTTCGACTAATCAGATCACTTGTTGACGAGTCAATCTTCCAAATATGAATATCTCATCTTATCGAAATGCCGACAGTTTACGATAACAGAAAATTCCAAACGGAAGCTCAGGACAAATCCGCGCAAACGCGACACGGAATCGTGAATCGGCGGTACCCCCGATTTCCGATGTCCCACGAATCGATCGATCTCCCGCCCGCAACTCGAACAATCCGGAGTCACTCAATTTGTTTCTACCCCGAAGATTCCAATAACTCGCGGCGAATCGCCTCGAGTTCCTCGAGCCGTGGTACGCGATCGGAAAAGGAACAGGCAGGGAGAGTTTTATGTCCGGCACGCCCGCGACCCGGTGAACTTTCGCAATCAGACCAGGGATCACGTAAGCTCAGCGCACCGCGGCCATTCTGCCGCGCCGGAAGGAAACCATCGGTCACTTCCTCCCCGGGACGCGGTCCGCGGCGAGGAGACCGAGTCCGAGCACGTCCTCGTCAACGGATCCCGGAAATTGCGGCACGTAAAGGCACCCCGCGATGCTCCGGATTACTTCCAATTCGAGTGTCTTCCCGAGCTGCGCCCACTGTTTCGAACCCGGCCGCTCTTAAATACTGCGCAACTACTCCGCGCATTGGGAGATACAGAAAGGAGAGTCGTAACCTATCGCAAACAGTGGAACAAACGACGGACAATCGAATCTACCTCGATTAACGCGTTCGTGCCACGGAAACTTCGGTTATATCTCGCTTACGAACTGTATTGATTTTTTAACACTTCCGGCCCAATTCGATTGCTGCAATCTCCTCGATTAGACGATGATTATTTGAAAGCATTTCTATATTGTAAATAATGTTACCTAATCAGATGACATTTAGCGAAACGAACGCCCGATACTAAGAAGGTAATTCAATGAAATTCATATTCTATCTTTCATTTCGTATATTCTCTTTAAATTCGGCATTCGACGCGTTAAATCAGTTCTATTCGGGTTTGTCATTTTTATATATTTCGATATTGCCGATGTTTTCATTGCTTTCTAAGGGATATCACTATGCCTGACCATGTATCTATTAAAAATATTCTCGTACGAAAATTCACGTGTACCGTGTGTGGTGTACGTGGCACGGAACGTGTTGATACTAGGTTTACGGAGATTTATCGCGGAATATTTTACTTCGTCGTTCTTAGAATCGACGTCGTTCATTTGGATCCAGGAAATCGCATAGAGGAATATTCGGAGCGCGAAGATACGAACTGCGCGCTGTTTACTGTGCCGTTGTAACGGTGCCAATGAAACGTGCCGAGGGAAATCGGTAGATGGGGAAAGATGGTAGGGTGATCGAGACTGGCGGTGTTTCGGAGGTTCTTCTTGAGAAAGGGCAACTGAACTTTAAGGGAGCCGGGGGATAGCGAGGGTCTCTCCACGGTGGATGCTCGGGGTCACGGTGATAAAGACAAACGATCCGCGATGGATCAATTTGCCGAGGGGACGTGCGGAGACAAATGATCCGAAGGGAAGCATACGTCGAGCTGATGTTACCCTGTGTGCCGGCGAATACTCGATACGCGTGAAGAGGAAGATATACCATTGGTATATAATACGAGGAGCATTAACCCTTTGCACTCGAGGGGCGTCATACAGTCGCCACCTGATTCGACGCGGCGAACTTATAAAATTTTCAATTCAATAGTGAACCTTGTGTAACGTATCAACGCATAAAACATCGAAGTAAAATAGTTCCGTCTCTTAATTTATGGAAGATAATCAATCGTGATAGTTGCGAAAAATATTAATATTTAGTCGGAAAGTAATGAATATCTTTAATGAGAAATACTGTCGAGTGCAAAGGGTTAATACGTTGAATGCGAATTACTATTTCACTCGATTAAACGATGATCGCTTGAAAACATTTCTATATTATGACTAAGGTAGCAACCTAACTCGGTGACCTAAATTTGTTCCATTTCATGTATCTTACTCTGACATCGTACGGCATTCAACGCGTTAAGCAGTGAACTGTCGAGTTCAGTTTTAAAATTCTGTATGTCAAATATGTAATGGCATCAAGCAACGGCGAGTACGTCGAACGTGGAATGAACGTAACGTTGTTTTACGTTTCAAAATGACGCGTTTATTCGTGGGACGCAGCGAACCGGTTAAGCTGGCGTACTAAATTAATGCGTTCGAGTCGAATCGGTTGGAACTCTGTCGTTGAATCGCAACTTTCGCGGTCCGATTGAATAGCAGTGTTTTCAAAGCGCGAACAGCGACGCTTGCAAACCCGCTGCGAGGCCAGAGGAACGAGTGGCGCAAAATATCAGAGGAACAGAGAAGCTTATGGATAATGGAATTCACGCAATCTGGACAACAAGTTGTGGGTGTGGGACAAATCCGCGGCGACTCGGGATGTTCATGCAAATACACGTTTTCATGGAATGCTTTATGGGGACGCAGATCAAACGGAATTTTGTTTATTTCAGCGGGGGATCCTTTCATGGCCAAAATAAGATTAAACCCGCGCCGGTGTTTATTACACTCTTTTACTGCAATGAGTTTCAAATGAACGCGAAAACTGTAAACGCGCCAGTGCTCGCAGTTTTACGATGACGGGATTCAGCGGATCTCTCGCGCAGTCATTGCCCGTAATGCGAACCGGGCTTTGCGCGTGCAAAAATCCGAAGCTTGGAAAACGCGAGCCCAATCTGTTCAATTACAAATATCGACGGGCGACTCGAAATTCAATCGATCTCTGTGAATTATTAATAACTCCCGCGTGCTATGGAAACCTCCGCAATTTAGCCTGTCATCCTTCGTTGCTTGATCAGTTAAAATACACATAATTTACTTTAACTCTTCGCAGTCGAAGCTCCTCTTCGCTCGTATTATTAACTTGAAGCAATTCCCATTGGAAAAATATATTCATATATAAATAAATGTGCATAAAGGGAAACTTGATATTGATTATACATAGATTTGATACTAAAATTAATGACTCCTTCATTCACGTATGTCGATGTTAACGCACTTTGACTGCCAAATAAACACTCATCAGAACTCTCGCGCAGTCGAAACAGTTGTCTTAATAAAGGAGAAATGAAAATCTTCCTTACGTCTCATGCACCCAACGAAGCTCGTTCGATGCATCGTCAAGAAAGCTAACGTTTACCTAAAAAACGGTATCAATATGAATATGGCCGACACGGCGGCCAAAGTTACGTTTCCCTTCCAGCGTCGCGTCGCGCGCGCGAGGGTTTCCGTTTCTCGAACCGAAGTTCGGCCTATTGAACCGTCGAGCCGGTCGGAAAGAAAGTTTAATTCCGAGATCGAAGGATTTACTGCTTGGGAAGCTGTTTAGCGGCGGGGCGCGGGTCCGTTCTCGCTGGGCCGCGATTCCCGAACTCGCGGCGAGTTTCCTCTCCCCCGAATTAGCGGTTAAGGAACTCCGTGACGTCTCGCGCGGCGAGAGCCACGGGCGCGAGTGATTTATTCGCGCGACTAGTCGTCGCCGGAACTTTTCCGTGCGATCCAATCCGACGCGGCAAGTTTGCCGGCGGTAAACTTCGACCCGGAACGCTCGTAACTCCCGCGACCGTCGCAAGAAACGCGATAGACTGGATTCTAGACTGGTTGACGGCGAATCGGGAGCGGCGAGTCCATTCGATCGCGTCGTCCCTCGGATTTTTACGCGAGCCTCCGCGGGCTTTGCGACTCGCGACCGAGTTCGACTTTTATTGCCCGTTGAACACTGTTCTAGCGGAAGGTCCGCTGTAGCAGTATTAAATCTGCGGGGGTATCGACTGACCACTGGATCAGTGAACAATGAGTACGACGTAGAAAGGGATCGACGGATCGTATGAAACATCTCGTTGATCGAACTATCGTTTAAACCGAGTTTACTAGTTTTATTCATTCTCAGGATGTTTCTGAGGAAACGAAGTATCTCGCATAGCGATGTACCATGTAAAATAAGAAATATTAAATTTTACTGTGTCAAATGAAGCGCTGCCTGAAAGTTAGCCTTCGAGTGTGAAGAGTCAGTATTTCGAGTATCTTACGTGAAATCTGATTTTCTTTCGAAGCACCGAGTGAAATAAATCGAAGAGCTACCTCGGCGAGAATAAACGGCGCTACTTTATCTTTCTTTAATTTTCGTTGGCCGACGCACGCGGGATCAGCGGCGCCCCCCTTCCCTAATCCAGGCGTAATCCAGAATTCCGTCCCCTTAACAGTATTTCTATCGAACGGTGGATCTAATTCCGAGGGAACTTCTCAATCCTCTTAAGACTGTTCAACCCGGAACTAATTCGAAACTTCCGCGTCCCTCCAGCGGTATTTCTGTCTCGTCCAGATTTAATTCAGACCCGCCAGTCCGACTGCCTCTAAATACTATTCCGCGCGCATAACCGCCGTCCAATGCGGATGCCACTAATAATTCAACCCGCCGATCCCAAGGCGCACTCTTACAGCGCGGTTTTTATAAAACCCGATAAACTTCGCGCGAACATTTCACACCGGCAGTTTCCCGATTTCCGGCGCGGGGACGTAATTATTTTTTATCCGGGCTAGCCGCGCGTCAAACTGCACACTTGAAACTTCAATTTCACGTAACGGACGCTGTAAAAGCTTCAAGTCGGACAATCGGAAAATCAACCTGTCCCCGAGGGGTGAATTTCGGCTAGCGGCGGTCCCGACAATCGGACGTGATTTTCAATGTGACAACGTCATTCTTTTTCATCCGGACCGTTCGCATGTCAAAGCGGGCATTTCCAGCTTTAATTCCATGTATCGCAAGTCGAGACTGGAAATATCTCGCGCGAACGCGAACGAAATCTAAAACACTTCACCGAAAAAAGAAGCATCCTCCGCGATGCGGCTCTCGAATCATTTCCACGTACACGCCGATGCCAGGAACGTTTGGAATCTCGGTTCTCCCAACTCCGGCGGAAGGAACTCGAGAACCCGACGCTACACGCGCGCGCGCGCGCGAGTGGTTAGGAACTCGGCCATCCAATCACCTTAAAATTCGACCGCTCAGCACCGCGCCAGCTCCTGCGAACTTTCATCGGCGAATTAGTTCGCATTCGACCGATGTTAATTTACGAGGAATAGATTCAATTAAATATCGAGAGCCGGCCAACTTCCCTTCCTACCTGGCGCTGAGAGTCGGAGGCCTGGGCGACTTGACCGGCAGTCGCGCGCGGAATTTAATGAAACGCGATCGAAGCTCACCTCAGCCTCGTTCTCTTTGTAAGAGGACCAGAAGTCAATTTGCCTGAGTGCCTCGAGCTCGTTCTCCAGCGGGTCGGTGCTATTGCCTTTCGCCGGACCTGTCCTAGACCCTGGGTCCTTCTTCCACGCGTAGATGGGTCGTTCCAGACCCACCTGGACCTGATTGCCAGACCGTTCCTGCTCCTCTGCTCTGCCGTTCTCGTTCCTGCCGCCTTCGTCCTCGATCTTCCTCCACTCGTTGCCGGCGTTCTTCTGCGAGGACACCGCGGACACCGCGACAAAAGCGTTCTTCGACTTCGCGGAACTGGCGTCGGCCGTGGTGCCGGGTTTCGAGATCGGCATGGCCGTTACCCTGTGGTAAGCGAACTGCTTCCACTTGGAGGGCCACGTGCCGGTGCTGCTCTTCCCGTAGCTCCAGTCCTCGTTCATCTTCTGCTGCCACGGGGACAGCTCGTTGCCCTTCGACCCCCAGCCGTTCCTCTCGCTGGACTTCCTCGGCCAGGTGTCTCCATTTTTCCAGGACTCCTCCTCTTCCTTCACTTTCACCGGCCAAGACTCCTCGTTGAACTTGGAGACGTCGTCGTTCGATGTCTTGGACGACCAGGGTTTGTTAGGCCTCATAGACCATGGGGCGCCGTTCCCTTTCGCAGTCCAGGAATCATTCTCGTTGATCTTCGTCCAGGCTGACTCCGGCTTCAACCATTCCCCGTCCTTCGTCTTTGATGTCTTCGAGAACCAGGAGCCAGGCTTGCTAGGCTTCCAGAGGTCGGCTACTTGCTTCTCCTCGGACCACAAAGGCTGCTCGTTGCGGTCCATCCAAGAGTCGTTCATCTTCTCCGACCAGGATCCTTTGCCGGGCCACTTGCCCTCGTTGCTAGACGATCTGCTGATGGTTTTCGACCATCTCCGAGAAGAGTTCTCTTCCGGTGATTGCAGGGGCTTCATCTGATACGGTTTCCACGTGGATTGGTCGCCGGACATCACCCAAGCCCCCATGGATTGGATCTTGGGCAGGGACGCCGGCTCGTCGTTCGTCCATGTCGGTTTCTCTTCGTGTTTCCTCCTCCACGCTTCGTCGTTCTGCATGTTCTCGGGCTTGACCCATTCTTTCAGAGGTTTCGACTCTACCAAAATTGTCCACGATTTCGACGGGTCGTCGGGCTTGGCCCTGTAATCGCTGAAATTGCTCCTGTCGCCGTTGGGATGCGGGAATTCCTCTTCCTTCCGTTTGTCGTCTTTCGATTTCTTCTCGGCGTTCGACTTCTCGGCTTCCTCCTTGGACCAACCGTTGCCCTCCTGCTTGTCCAGGCCCAGCTTCTTCACTAGGTCCGCGTTAGGGTTGTACGATTTCCCGTTCTCATCCTTCGGCCACGGTTTAGCGCCTGGTAACTTGTGCGGCCACGTGGCCGGGTCGGAGGTCAGACTATTCCAGGTCTTCATCGTTATTTGAGGAAGCACGACCTTCTCTTTGGACTCGTGCTTCGTAGGCAACCGGCTCGGGTCGGATCGATTGTCGTTCTTCTCCCAGGCGAGGTTCGATTGATCACGGTCGTACAGTTTCATCGATCTATCGTCCTGATGCCACGAGCTGGGTACTTTCAAAGGATTCTCCACTGGCCAGGCAGATCTATTTCGACAGATTAAAGAAGCTCTCTCGTGTAAGAGGTAATCAAAGTACCGAAGCAATTTTCATATTACCGGCGAACGAGGTTAATCTTTTAACGCGTGTCGAACTCGTCTGTACGTCTAATAAATGCGTATCAGAAGTCCGTCGATAAGAACGCGAAGGTAACTTGGAAAATTTCAATGAAATAACGCGTAGAAGAATGAACAATGAAAGTTCTAATGAAAGAAATATAATTAAATTTCGATCTCCTCGGCAATAATAATCTCGCTTATTCTAAACTCTACATTTCTATTTCCATTACCGCAACCTAGTTCCATTTCATCCAACAATTCCGCAAAGACGGAAGAGGCCAACCTGTGTCTGTCCCAAGCGTGATTCACCCTGGCCTGCTGGGAGGTCTTGTCAGGCACCGGGACGTCCTCTCCATCTTCCTCGTTGATCAACGGCGACCAGTAGCTTTTCTCGAGCGGCAGGAACTTGTTCCTCTGAGCCCAGTGCTTCGGCTCGGGCTGCGATTGCCTCCAGGGCCATTTTTCAGAGGCTAGCGGCAGCAACGGCCGCTCCTCCATGTTCCAAGGCGGACTATACTTGTAGGAGACGTCCGGCCAGCTTCTGCTGGGAGGGAAATCTCGAACCGGCGGCCCGTACTCCTGGCCCTTCGCGTAGCCGTCGGCTTGCACGCCGAAGTCCGAAGGATAATCCTCTTCCTGTCTACGCAGGAAGTTCCTGGACACCGGGGACAGCTGACTGTACCGCAGCCGAGGGTACGAATCGACCGTCTCGTAATCTGGTAGGCCAGTCTCTGGAAAGCCAATTAATCGACCGCTGAGTTCCTCGAGTTCGGTTGACTACCATACTCTCAAGCTAAAGACGGTCGAAGGAAACGTCAGCCCTCGCGAGTAGATGCTCAAAACCAAAAACAAGATAATACTCATTCGACGCTGATTCTCTTCTCTTCTGTCCTAGTTTCTCTTCGGATACCACGGATTCTTTAGTTATTCATTAGCGAAAGACTCGAATTAACCCCTAACGATCAGTCCAACTTACCGGCTTCGATGCCACGTACACGGGAAGAATCATTTTACTATTTTCATCGCTGTCATTCTCGTAATATTTACAACGAACACGTTAAGTACTATGCTAGATCTCTGTACATTTCTCTCCTTTGTTATCTGTTACGGTATCTTATCGCGGTAAGCTTGAGATACTTCCAGCCCGTTAAGGTTTAAATCAAAGTGAACATTCTACAGGAGTACTCATTCGATCACCAAGCGTCAAGCAAATTTACCTGGTCTGCTGTAGACGTTCCCAAAGTCCCTGGCCCTCTCGACCGCCCGACCGGCTTCTAGACCATCGATCTTCCCGAACACCGGCTTCCTGTCCAACGGGTACGTCTTCCCGTTGTTCTTCGACTTGTTCCGTTCGATCAAATCCCGAAAGCTAGTCGGGATTCTGGGACCCTGGCCGGCGGCGAGCCCAGCGTTCGTTTTCTCAGGGTCCGGCTGCAGGTCCTGCTGCCACGGCGGACTGAAGAGTCTCTCCGCGACGAGGCGCCATTGAACGGGCGTCGTTTGCCAGGGTGTCTCTGTGGTGGTCGACAAAGCGGGCGTCGCTGGGACCGGCGTCAAAGTGGTCGTCGAAGCGCGATGCCTGGGCTTCTTTTTCTTCTTCTTCGAGCGCTTTCGCAGGTTCCTCGGGTCCGGCGACGAGGACTCGGCCACCGAGGGGAACGCAGTCGTCCCAATGCCGTACTGTTGCTTTATGGCCTTCACCTTCTGCGGCTCTTGGTCCACTGTTGACGCGACACACGCGAATTTTAACGATAATAATATCTTTTCAACGTGGTCTTGACGGGTACTCATAAATTGGGAGCAATCGCGATATCTAAGAAAACCTTTTCGAGCACACGTCGATTTTAATGAAACACACGAGACATAGTTCTCAAGAAAATATTTCACACGTATTTCTTCTCATCCAACGTCCACTTTGAACGAGTGAAAACACCCTTCAAAGTGGAGAGTTGAAAGGATACCTCTTGGAATATCTCTGAAACTAAGGGGCGTGGAGAAGTTCGTTTTCAGGCGAACAATTTAGATTTCAACTTTGTGGAGTGTTTTCACTCGTTCGAAGTGGATGTTGGATAAGGAAAAATACGCGTTGAATATATTCTTGGGAACTACCGTTAATATAAGTTTCATCAAAATCGTTGCGCTTGAGAAGGTTCCCCAATAAGATGAAATGTGATAAGCAATTGACGTGGTAATACTAGATAACAGTGGAACGCGAGAATCGTGAACGCAAGTAATAGATGATCAATAATTTCGCCCTCTTTTAACTTGTCATCAGCTGAATGCAGCATCGATGGAAATAAATTTCGTTCAATAGAATAAAGTAGAATTACATGGATTTAAGAAGAAAACAAGGAACACGCGTCGCGATGGGGACATAAATAGCGGACCTGCAGCGAGTGCTCGCGCGCGGGCCGTGTCCATTCGTCGACGGTAGCAAATGGCCATTATTAAAGCGGCATTGTCCGGGTAATGGAGATTAAGACGACGCCGCGACGGCGAAAGCTCTTTTACGCGCTGTTCTCGCTCGGCGAGGACCCCGATGCGCGAGAACCAACCTGTTCCCGGATTATTCACTGTCCTCGTGTAAATATTAACCACCGCGTCGGCGATGCGCGTTAACTGCGAAATTAACGGACAATCTCGCGGAATCGAGAAACGGGCCGCGTTAATCTTCCCGAGGATCCTCCGCTACTCGTAAATCACTCGGTACGCATCGAAAACATATTACGCGAATTAAAAGAGGAGAGATGAAAAATCGCCTGATGCTGTTCACTCGCGGAGAAGGTACCAAGATTCTTCCATAATTAATTGGATCGATTACTAACGTGTTGTTTCAGTCGCCATTAATAAAGGACATGTATTTAAACTAAAAGAGAAGCTTAATCCTCTATTCTTTTAATACAGATGTTAATTTTAAACGCAAATATATACCGACGAGAAATGCCTGTGTAATACTGATGCGTTTTAGAAGAATTATACAAGTTAATCGATACTTTAATTAACTGAAATTCGTAGGCGACGTTACGTTGAGCTTTTCAATACTTCTCTGATTCCCGTTTCTCCGGTCGCGATGAAAAATCTGTTGATCCCGGCTCCACTCGGCGCGAGACACGAGTAATTTCTCTTTAACCCGAGACTAATTCGATAACGAAAGTGCCAATCACCGTTTAATTGAGAACGATTCGAAGGCAGCGTTAGGTATACTCGAGCAGCTGTGCTCGGCCCCGTTCACGCGCATTTAGGAATTCCCCGTTTCCTTCGCCTTCGATCAGAGTTTCCCTGAACGCCGGGAATACATAGGAACAAGTTGCCCGCGCAGCCGGAAGCAATCGAACGCTGGAACGGCCGAGTGAAAAGAGCGCCGTCTCTCGCCTGGAAACGATGAATCGCGGCCGGAAAATCGTATCGGGCCGGGTCGCGCTGATTTCCAGCGTAATACGTACAAATTAATTGCCGGCAGCCAATTATGCTGGCCAATAACGCGGATGCTGTTCGTTAATCGTCCGATCGCCAAGCTTTATTGGATTCTCGACTGCTTTTGCTTTCGCTAGATCTACCGGGATGGTACAAATCATCCATCTTTGATTCCGTTTTTTTAATTATCGGAAGACACAGATTGTTCATCTCTCGAAAATGGTCCTTCGAAAATCAGCGATTCATAGCTTTTGTAATTATTTTAATTGACTCCGAGTTTATACGAATTTATATAAAAGTGGTTCTTCAAGAATCGATGATCAGTAGCTTCCGCGATCAGTTTAATTAAATTAATGTTTAAACGGTACAAGTATTGGAAATACTACAGAATGCGAGTCAATCGAAATTTTGATAAATGCACTCTCACGATCGTTTCGCGGCAAGATCACGAACAGTTCGCCGGTTCAGTAGTTCTAGGGTTAACGGTGATCACTGATCTTAGAACGAGCAGCGCGACCCGGTTGGAATTTATTCGCAATTCGCTCCCGACCATTCGAACGGCTTTGTTCCCGGCTTTGAACCGCAACGTATTTTCTAATCGTTCGGGCAAGCTTTCCCTCTTTCCGTTCGATCGGTCGTCGTAACTTTGAGCCGGGAAATTTAAATACTTGTTGCTCCGCGGCTCGCACACGCACAGCTTTTCGTTCGTGCGCCCGATGAAAATTAACGGCGCGGTTACATTACACTCGCAACAGGTACCTTATTCTTAAGTCCCCTTTGCAACGGAATCTACACTCGGAGCTCGCGGATGCGACCTGCGTTCCACTGATTCTAAACACTTGGTATTCATCTTCGAAATCCTTCTGTCTCGAACTGTTGCTCGAGCAATCGGATTACTTCGAGACCGTTTTAACGGCACGACGCGATTCCAATATTTGGATATTATTTTAAGAATATAAAATACTTGGAGAGATTTTACAAAATGTTTTACGACCTGTCGCGTTTACTCGCTGGGTGTTCTATTTTTAAAGTTAATCCGTGTACGTATCGCGGCTTCGTCGGATTCAAAGCTCGCCAAGCAAACAAATCCCGTTCCCTTTGCAGTCGCGTTGCGGAAGCTCGTTTGAGACGCGCTGCCAGGGCAACCGAATCCATCAATCGCAACCGGCGATTAAGGGGAATCGAATTAATTACAGAACCGTCGCGTACAGGATTCCTCGCTAAATATATATCGACGGCGGTACTCACGGAGAACTTTCCGCAGTGTGCACAGGTCTTCGATCAGTTTCTTGAAGGTTCTGTTCAGGACCACCGAGAGCAGATCATCCACGTCGTCCTGGACCACAGAACACATGAATAGTTAATTACTAAACACAGCATTCCCTACACAGTTCCTGAATTCTCGCTGATTTTTCTTTAAAGAAATAATTAAATACAAATCTCCTATCTCTTACACTCTACGATCCTCGATCGTTGAATTATATCCAAGTATCGTTGCTCGTCACGTATTCCCTGTAATTCCCTGTAATCTAGAACTTTAACTCTAAATAATTAAACATTCGTCTAGACGGTCTACCGATCTTTGCCACTCGTGTGAACTTGAATTTAGCACACTTTTAACCCTTTGCACTCCAGGTTGTTTTGTAGTGTGTCAGCAACTGCAACTAATTTTTATAGTATTCCTAGAAATTACAAATTCTATAACATTTCTTCGATCCTTTATTTTCCTTATTAGTACAAAATTTGGATACGAGGAATGTCGAATAATTTCAGGGTAGCTTCTTTAAGATTCATTAAAATATTTGATATTATACCTGGTGCAATATTGGAGCCTACAGAGTTCAAAGGGTTAACACATGTCAAGACCGCAAACATTACTATACAACGCATTTCCAATTTTTTATTAAACACTAATGAAACGTATCTTATGTTTAGCCGGTTCGCTCGGAATAAATAGAGGAAATATAAAAATATATATGTTTTTAATCCGTAGTACGAATGTTTCGTTGCAGAGTTGATTTCAATTATCTAGATCCAAGTATTACACGCGATTAATAGAGACAAGTGTGGCGTTAAAAACCGCGAGATTTCGTGGAAATTAATTCTACGCTACGCTAAAGCAGCTCGGTAGAATAGTTGAAGCCGCAAGTTGGAGAATATTCGCTCGTCTGCGGCCGGGCCGAACGCGAAATGAACAAATCACCGATATACAGGAAACGCGGAGCCGCTTAACGAACGTTTACCGGCGCGAGTCCTCGAAACGACAACTCGAGCGAGAATTTTCAGCGTGGTTCCGCGTCGCCGCATCGCGGTTTTCCCCTCGTTTTTCCGCTCGAACGTACTCCCCGGAACCGTACAGCGACGCCGGAAATTTCCCGAGCCGCGCGACTCGACGATCATTAACGACCATGGAGTCGGCACGGAGAGGTTTCTGCGTGCAGCCCTCCTCCTGAGTCCTCCGATCCGCAGCCTTCTGTTCTCGGGTCAAGTTCAATCCGTGGAATGCCTTTCACTCGATCGAAATCGTTAGAAAACGATAACCGAACGCGTGTTTCACCATGCGTCCACGACCCTTAACCCCTTGCACTGCGAATTTCTGCTGAATTTTTTCCTCGACAACTCTGTATTATTACAATACTTGATTTGAAATGCATTTGAAAAAATAGATAGCTTGTGGAGAGCAAACGATTCTTAGTAGTAATATTGAAAATAACGTAATATAATCTATTTGAAAAATATCTTCACAATTAGCGCGCGAATGAAACTAATGTCGAGTCACGCTGTTGAAACAACTTTCGCGATTAACCCTTTGCACTTCAAAGTTGCCTCTCAGTCAGCACTCGCTTGGTGCATCAAAATTGTAAAATTCCGTGTTTAACGTTAAGTCTTCGGTAATCTATCGGTACGTGAAATGGGGAAATAAAATACCATTGTTCCCCTTATCTTGTGAATAGATTCCTCGTTAAGTTAGTTGAAAGAATGTTATCTATATCTCATAAAAATAAACTGAATATTTCTAGTGACAAATGTTTGGAGTGCAAAGGGTTAATATAGACGAACATAGTTTTCTAAGAACAATAGAATAAAGTATAGAATAAACGTCGATGAATATAGTGTCCACTATCCGAACGATTCAATTATCTGCAACCTCGTATTCCAAGCATGAAAGGAACAGCGAAACCGACATCCTCAAAGGGTTGATACAGATCCTATTCTGTGATTACCCAGCGCATCCCCAACACCTCATCGTCCTCATCATCCTCAACTTAAAATCTCAAGAACCCACTGAACAACCCTACAGAAACCAAGAACAGCCTCTCGAACACCTGATCGCAGCGCGAAGCCTCGATCTCGCAGACGACGCGGTTCGCGATTTCCCGGCGAATCCCGTTATTCCGCGTCGAACCGCTCGCGCCGCGGGCCCCGTTAATCGTAAATCAAGGGAATTAAGACGAACAGCTTCGTTCCGCGTCCTGGCCGGAGGTGCAACGGTAAAATCCGCGCGCGCTGCTCTTTCTTCTTGTCTCTTTAATGCGGATCCCCTGATCCCTTTAATGAAAATTAACGAGACTCCGGCGGCCGATTCCGCCGGAGTATCTCCAGTTTCCTCCGCGGTGGAAAACGAGGGTAACCGGTGATTTTTTTCCCGCGTTGCACCTTTCGCTCGGCGGCTCCTTCGTCCCTCCTAAAATATATTTCGCCGTGCACCGTTTTTCTATCTCGATCCTCTCGCAGCGCTCTCCGCGCGCGGCCCTTTTAATAAAAATCGACGCGGCCGCTCTCTTGGTATTCCGCGCGGCTCCCTCGGGTTGCCTTTCCCCGTCCCGACGTAAAAAGCGCCGTCTCGTCTCGTCCCGTCTCTGCTTTCTATTATTTCACCGCCGCCCGGCTTCCACGATGTAAAAACGCGCGGGCGCCTTCCAATCTTTCCTTTACTACCCCCCGATGCAAATCCCCGGGCAGAACCGGCTCATCTAACACAAATCAAAGTGAACCTCTCTGTTCCCCGGTCCCTGCGACCCCGATAAAAGTCTGAACGCCGTCTACCCTTCGCTGCCGGATCGTTCCGCTCCTATTCCATTCCTTCCACGGGCTGTCTGTTACCTTCCTCTCTAATAAAGATCGACCTCGCTGCCTTTTTATACATTCTTCCCCGTCGATTTAACACGGTTACCGTCCTACTCCTCTGTCCCACGGTTCCGTCAGCGTGGAAGCTCGCAGGGCAATTCTCCCTTTGCTCGAATAAATTTCCGTTGGCCCCGGCGAAAGCGTTTTCCGTGATTTGTCAGGGCTGTTACGTGTACCGTTTAATCTCGCGCGACGCGAGCGCCTCGCCGGGAACAGCGAGGTTTGTCGGCTAATCCAACGGCTGCACGAGTGACTCGCCTCGACAAGCGAATCTCTGTTTCCGCTGATTAACACACCGATTCTCGAGTAGCAACCCGATAGCGCGCTCTTCAGGCGAACTCGATTGCCCGCTAAGCCGATGCACTCATCGATAATTATTTATTTATACGCCTTCTCGATTCCCCGAGGAATCGTAGTTTATTCTACGCACTACGTTCATGCGAGAAATCAATGGAAGCACGTTCGAAATTGAAATATCAATCTCTTTAATGCACTGTATCGAGTCAGGCGATCGCAGAGCTGTCGAGCGCAATACGCGAATCGGTAAATCTTCCTAACCTGAATTCTCGCGCGTAATCAGGAGTTTTTCCACGGATTCGAATCGTTGCGCGCGAGGGAGACCTCGAGCAGAATGCGACGTGCAGCGGCGCGTACGCATTCAGACGCGCCGAATGAGAGGGCAATCCCGTCCCGAATGAATGGCGAAATAAGAAATCGTTAGGAGATGCGCAGCCGGGAGGCAGGGACGACGAGTTAATTCGTCCCGACCGGTTAACAGGTTAATGCAACGTCCCCGCCTCCCTCCCGGCGCCGGTGATTCAATAGCCGGGGCAATTGAGAGCTGCCGCGACTGCATACGGGACGCCTCGCGCGAAGAATATTGAATTAGCCGCGAGAATACGCCTCTTTGTGCTAGCTACACGGCCACCACGATAAACGAGCGAGCGAGCGAGCGAGCTGGTGCTCGCCAGGTAGCTGGATGCCACGATAATGGACCGGCGAAGCGTGAGACATCCCCGGGACGCCGGAAGAACGCGTCCAATCTGCCGCGACGGCCTTTTAAGCCCGCTAGATGCACTCGACGACGCGCCGAATAACGCTCCCTCTTTTTATTCCGACGAACAGGGTGTGTTTTAACAGGGAGGAATTCGATATTACTTAATCCTCTGCACTCGAGAGGCGACTTGGTCGTTATTTCATCCGATATAGGTGAACTGTACCGTTGGAGAGCGGAGGATTAACAAAGTTTCGAGTGCGAGGGAGTAACCAACGTATTATCTTCGCGTGCTGCGTCGTTCGATGGCACTCTCGAGAAGGAATTATCGCAGCTCCGACAAAGGCACCAGTGATTAACCTGGTATCAGTAGTTGACCATTTTTCAGGGAAGAATAAGGTCTTCGAGAGCAATCTTTCGATAAAGGCGTGATTGACGCGCTGCGGTATCTACTGACTCAACTTCGAAAGACTTACCCGAATTAAATGGTTTATCGTGAAAACCAACAGTTTCATTCACGTTCTATGTCTACAAATTCCAACAGGGAATTAACTTTTCATTTGTATTTGTCGCTTGTAATTGCCAGCGACATCTTACCAACTTACGCAAGTATCGAGTCTTCGAAGATATTTATACAATTTGGATAGCGTGACTGTTGCCGGTGCTTTTAACTTAGTACACAGTCGTGGAACAGCACAAAGATTGAATTCGGAATGAAAATCCTGTAGGAACATCGGAAGAATAAGGATCTCGGTTTCCGCGGAGATGTTTTCGATGTAAATTGAATCGAAAAATATCGAATTACTCCGGGCAACGTTGACAGAAGTCGTTCCGCGCGAAGTATCATTCGTCAAAGGAACCCACTGCAGGATTTTCCGCGCGGAATAAACGATCGAATGCGGTTTCGTCCGGTCCCCTCGATTCTTATTCGAGAGACAACGCAGTCGCCCGAAGCTCAAAGTTCGGATCCCATTTTCCGTCTCGTTGTCGCAATTAACGGGCGGAGATATCGCCGACGGAGAAATTTCTTAGAAGACCGTTTAAGCGCCGTCGCGGAGGAAAGCGGGACGAGCCCGGCGACAAAAACGCTCCGCGTCCGCCGGATCCAATTGTCGCGGCAATTGCGGGCCCGGTGGCTAAAACGGCCGTGTTAAGAGTATCGAATTAGCCGGGAGAATGCCTCCTTTGTGCGCCCCGCCCCCAATCAAGGCGCCGCGACAATGAAACCGAGGCTCGCTAATTTTCCTTCTTGGACCATTCTTCGAGCTTCTTCGTCTCCCACCGTCTCAGTCGCCCAGAAAGCAATGCAGTTAAGTCCAGAAAACAAATGTTTTATAACTGATAATTTTATTATCTAGAATTTTTAGCGTGGGTTAAGGTGTTTTTAAGAAGAGCGAATGTAAGAACGAGTGTGAGCGACAGGTTGTAAGACGGTCGAAAGTGGCCTGCGCAGCGTCGCGGACCCAAGATCGCAGGGCCAGCTTTCCAAAGGTGCATCCGAGTGTTTACGATGAGTGAGAATGCTTGTGGGAGAGAATGATTTTTGGAAGAGCCTGTAAGAGTTGCGGGAAGAGTCGTGTGTTGGCCTCCGTGGCATTGAGTCGTATTTTTACGTATTGTCCGTGTTGTTTCCATATTTTATTACATACATATATTTATTCCTAGTTCTCGATTACTCAAGGTCCACTCTTTCACTGTCTATAATACAGTGATCACTATACTATTTATCATCCAATACGTTCATCTCCATTTTCTTTTTCCCTATTACTCTGAAAAAGCACCGGTACGGTTAACCAGGATTCAAGGAGCGGTCCCAGAATGATTCGGCGGTGATCGGGTGAAATTGGCTGGCCGTAAAGGCGCAGAAAACACGAGGTAGTTCGACTTCTTTGCCGGAAGTCCCCTCTCGAGGATCCGAGCGCGGCAAGCGAAAAGCGGCCGGATCCTCGGACAGCAGTTTCGCTATGAAGACACAGCGCCTGGGACGTCGATTTCAATCATCATCCCCGAGGATCAAAGCCTTGCTACGCCTCGCCTCGCTGCAGGCGGCTGGAAAGACGCTTCCGGCTCTGGGGTTGCCACTCGCCGGTTATTGACCCGAGAACGCGATGGCCAAGGGCTTCGGACAGCTAAGGGGAGGGTCTATCGATCAGTGATCCGCAGCCCTTTGAGATCGGCCGGGGGACGCTGAATATATTTCTTCGTCGTTGTCCTCTCACTTCACGGTACTCGCACGACAAAAGTCCGCCCCGGTGAGTCTTTTGACCGCGCCACCGTTCTACGGGTATTACGGTTACACCGGGTGTTTGTCGTAGCTTGATGATCGAGGAATCGGTAACAGCGGCGGTCTTCTTTGTCGGGGAGATTCGCTTCGGTTTCGAACCTTTGCGAGATGATGCTCGATAACGGCACAGACGACTGGAAGTGCGTTCGGATTTACGTATTTTCCGGTTTATCCTTCAATATTTTGAATGTAGAGTTCTGTGTATATGCAGGGTGCGACTGCGTGGGGAATTGCGAGAATTCGGGTGTTTTGAGAAATACGGTTGGTTGAATATAGTATGAAATGCAGTTGAGAGTAGTTAGTTAAATATAGTATAAAATATAGTTGAGAGTAGTTAGTTAAATATAGTATAAAATATAGTTGAGAGTAGTTAGTTAAATATAGTATAAAATATAGTTGAGACTAGTTAGTTAAATATAGTATAAAATATAGTTGAGACTAGTTAGTTAAATATAATATAAAATATAGTTGAGAGTAGTTAGTTAAATATAGTATAAAATATAGTTGAGACTAGTTAGTTAAATATAGTATAAAATATACTTGAGACTAGTTAGTTAAACATAGTATAAAATATAGTTAGTTAAAGTTAAATGATTAAATAACGATGTAATTAGTACTAGGATAATACTCATTTAGCTTATCCCGTCTCACTGTGGCATGGATTCAGTTCCAAAGACCATGCGGCAACTTTTGAATGCTACTGTATACGAGGAGTTGAATTTATACGTTTCACTTTCGTATACGTCTATTATAAATAAGGATAATATCCAGCTCATTCTTTACCGCTCAAGAGAACAGGTTTAATATGGATTCGTCGTGATTTATCCTAGTTTATCTCTGGAGTAATTGCTGTAAAGCGTGTTTTAGCTACCCTTACCTTAGACAGATTGGAGGATTTCAGATCCTGCCTCTTGTCCAGCTTCTTGGGGCTCTCCGCTTCCAATTCCGAGTCACGATTGTCCGCGGAGATCTCGCCTCTGCCCGGCGATTCCTCGGGGAACCCCGGCTTCTCTAATTTCGTCGACTACGGACAGAGAAAACCGCGCCACTTCAAACATAAAGTAAGAAACAAACGAACGTGCACAACGTCGTATAAACGATTCACTCGTGATATTCAGGTCTAGGCACCGTTGTCCAGCGATAAAGACGGCGCAATGGCAACCAACAATAAACTGCCGCGAAATGCACTGGGAGACTGTCAGTGCACGGAATATTCTAGAAAATTGGGCTCCGCCGACTTTGCGAACCCGCTCGACGCGAATATTAACAAGCGACTTCAGAGACTTTAGAGACGGCGAGGCTCGAGCCCCACTGGAAGGCAGCCGAATCCGGCAAAGCTGCCTGATAAATATCTCAGTCCCTCAATCGCTTAAATCCTCTTTAATATTTCATTCCCCGAAAAACCGGGGCGCTCGCGAGAGGCGAAGTCGTCGTTCTTTCTCGCGGAAATAAGTACAAGTGGAATAAGGACGAACCGAGTCAGACGGGAGAAGAAGGTCTTGTCCCGATTAGATCGCGCGACTCTGCCAGCAGGGAGTTTTTCCCGCGAGGTCGGGGGAAAAGTTCGTGACTCGTCGTCGTGCTCGCCGGGGATTCCTGGCGGATCGATTAGTCATTCTATCGAGACGCGGAACACAGAATAAGAAAGCTTTCGCGTCGCCCCGAAAATGATCGATGCTGCCGCCGTAGGCGTTCGAGGCTATCGGGAACGGGCAATAGAAAAGTTTCTCCGATGTCTGGCTATCGCTGCTGCTCGCTGCATCGGATTATCGCGTAGCCATTATACTAATTATACTAATTATTACACTGAAAAATCGTGCGGAGTGCACAGATTATAAGAAGATATATGAAATACTCAAAGTGTAACACTTTTCATGTCTCTTAGGGAAAACTATTTTCCCAATTAGGTTCTTAAACGATTGAATCTGCATAAAGATTTATTCATTATATATAGATGTTATCTTAATAGTGTTAGTGTGTTCTTGCTAGGTTCGGCTGGGCTTTCGTTAAGCTAGCTGAAATAATACTAGAACTTCGGCGAAATTTTTCTGTAAAGAATAACTGTCAAATGACTATTATTTTTTATATATCTATTGACAACAGTATCAAAGAAAGTAATAATTGTATATATGCCGTGACTGATAAGAAAAATAATATAAGAATGCTCCCTCAATGGAATTCTATTTGATTCACCGTGCTGTTTGTAATATTATTTTCTACCTACTTTCTTTCTTCAGTATTATTGGAATCTTTTATTTATGAGGAAAAACAATGGAAGATGGGGAAAGAACTTTGCAGCTGTGGAAATATCAAAGTATGTTTGTATCATTGTCAGTGAATAATAAATATATAAGAAACATACTCTGTATCATGTCAAAAAATAACTGTCAAATGGTTATTATTTTTTTATAGAAAAATCTCGCCAAAGTTCTAATATTATTGCAGCTAGCTTAACGAAAGCCTAGCCAAACCTAGCAAGAACACACTGACACCGATACTAAGATAACTGTCAAATGGCTATTATCGAAATATGTACAACTTCTATGGAAACATCGAGTACTGCGCTTCCGTTGTTCGACAGCCACGCTCTGCTCACCCCGTTCCGAACGGTGTTTCGCCTCTGAACCGTCTTCGCGTCTTCGTCCGCTCGATTGAACGCGTCCTCCAGAGGGATCAGACCCTCCGACACCTGCGTCTCGTTGCTATCGTGCGGGAAAGGCCCGCAGAGGATCTCCCTCTGCGTGCTCAGCTCCTTTTTCACGGTGGGCACGCGTTTCGTCTTCGTTCTGCTCTCCGGTGCGTGCTTCCGCTCCTTTTTGAATTTTACCAACTCGGCGACCTGTGCAATTCCGCGGGAAATAAGGTTATTAGATGGAGATCATGAGAATTTACTCGGCGATGACGGTTTCACAGAAATCATCCCTTACATTAGGATCTCACTATTATATATTTTCCTAGGCAGATTATTAGTTGATTAATATCTCGTCAACTTCTCACAAGAAAAGTGGATATTTCCGATCAAAAACGTATTTATTAGACGATGATGATAATTTACTCTACAGTAGCTTTTAACAGAGATCATCCCTTACATTAGGATCTCACTGTTACATATTTTCCTAGGCAGATTATTATTCAATTAATATCTCATCTACATCTCACAAGAAAAGCGGATATTTCCGATGAAAAACGTATTTATTAGGCGATGATGATAATTTACTCTAGAGTAGCCTTTAACAGAGATCACCCGTTACAGGAATTTCATATATTCTCCTAGACGAATGATCAACCCTCTAAAATCTCATCAACATCTCCCAAGGAAACGATGGATATTTCCAATGCGAAACTATCGACTCCAAAGCATCGAGCTATAAAACAGCATCACGTGCAATAAAAATCAAGCTCGAGCGCGCGAAAGGTAAACGGTGGAACGCGGTAAGAGGGTGGTATTGTTAGGGACGTTGAAGAATACGGGAGTATTCCGAACACGAATCGCCGTGTAGTTTCCACTGTACGAGGAGAAATCGAAGCTGCATCCACGGAAATATTCGAATATTTCCTAGACGTCCCGCGTAAGAAAAATACGCGGAGATAAGGGGCGCGCAGCGGGAGGAGACGCGGCGGGGCCTGGAAAATGGAGCATCGCCTCGGAGCGCCGCTTGCCGCCCCGGGATCTCGGAAATAAAAACGGGACGAATGAATATATTTCCCCCGGCGGGCGAAGGAAGCGGTGTTTAACGACAGTGATTCCGCAAACACGGGAAAAGGGACTCGGAGGATCCGCTCGATTCTATTTGTCAGCGGTCCCGCGGGGGAACAGATTCCGCGCGTGTGCGGCACACGCGCAAAAAACGCTACGCGAGAGACGGGGGCGCAAAGGAACGAGCTGCGCGCGTTCCGAAACGATGAAATACGATTCGCCCGTGACCCGGGCCAACTTTGCGGAAATACTTGTCCCCGCCGGGGCCTGTACGCCTCCCCCCTCGCCGCTCCGCCGAAAAACAACGTCCGCGAGACGACATAATTGAAAAATTTAATTACACCGGCTACTGCTGGTACGCGGGCTGTCTTTTTCGTTCCCGGGTCGAAGCTTGGAAGATAACGCGTCTGTTTGTACGGTTTTAATTGAACGACCTCGACGCTTCCGATTATTTGATCGGCTTTAAGTTGTCGGTACAATACGCAGCTGTTACTTTGAAAACGAAACTATCTTGTCGGTTACTTACGAATTCTGTTCTCTTCGTTATTATAGTTTACTCTCCAACAGATTCATCGATGTTTCTATTAACTCGTTCCGTTAATCATCGGAATGACTCGTTTCTAGATAGTAATTAAGAACGATCTCGTTGAATGGATGAAATCGAAGAGCGCGATAAAAGATACTTCGCGAAGAGATCCGTAACGTCGCGGCACGTTTGGGGGATACATTCCGGCGGACAGATAGTGCGCCTGGAAACATTTAAACTTCCCTCTTAAGACGTTACGAATGGCTTTCCAATCGCGAAACAGCTCGGACCTCTGTCGATGCAAAGTACTTTCCGATAGTTCCTCCGTATCTTTCCATCTGCGTGTATGTGTGCAACCGATAAACATTAGACGACGGACGAGACTGTCTTCCGGCAGAGTGGCTCGTAACGGAGAGCCGCGTGCCAATTTCCACGGCACTCCATCTTCCAGCCGGTTCTTTGAATCTTTTAATCTCGACCGTTAAAAGGTCACAGAGGAATCTCTCGCGTGCCGCGCTTTACGATTCGAACGATACGTTAATTTAAATGAAGGAATACTTAGAAATGTTAACACTGGAACCACAGAGTAACAAGATCGAGATATTTGTCATTTGTTTTCATTCGAGAATTCATTTCGAAATTTCTCACGAAAGCATTTTTTTTTATATCTTAACACATTGCGCACTAATTTTCAGAGAACTGAATTATGCGGATGATTTTCAGTGAGATCAAAGCATATCGCTATACATAAACTCAGACATCACATCGTTATGTAATATATTTTAAATAGAGAATTAATTCCAGTGAAATTTCATAGTTTTCTCAATGCTGTGGCAATTAGCAAAGTCGCTAAGAGTCTTTATACGCAACCGAGATTTCTCGTTGCCGGTACGCAATGCGTTAATGATGACGAAACGAGACTGGTCGTTCTAGTAGTTCCAGTGTCATTAATTATCTAGAATTCATTATACATTAACATCAGACTAAGAAGATAGAAATGAGAAGATAAACGAGTTCCTAGGATGTTCAACTGGATCCCGTGAGAAAACGAAAGTTCACCGTGTCGAGGCCATAGGTGAAGGTTCAAACGATGCACCGACGTCAGGTATCGTTCAGCAGCAAATCAATCGCGTCGATAATCCTGCCTGAAGGATTAAACGTCAGCCCGACACTGTCCTGGCCGGCAGCCAGCTTAATCGTAAATAGAACGGGTTAACAAAGTAAGAGATGAGCTCGGTGTAGGTCAGGGTTGGGCCGTGGTCGGGTCACGGTTCTCGCCGCAACCCTTCCCAAGCGAGACGGTGGTCAAGGCTCGGCCGAACATTTCCACGGGGAATCGGGTCACCGGTGCACCGTGCGTGCGTACCTGTTATTATCGATTCTCGCGGCTCGAACTTTCCTATTCGACGAAATCTGGCTTCCCAATTAGCCCGTGCGATATTACCTCCACGTTGAACGCGGTTCCAATAGAATTCGGAAGAAACGCGAAACACGAAACGTTATTCGACACTCCTACTAGGCAGCCGTAATATTTAACAAATATTCGTTATTCCGTCAACCGACATTTCGACTACCGTACAACTCCCATCCACCGGACACCACGAATTACACATTTACTCGAATCAGCCACAGCGACGGAAAACAACTTGCTCCCGATTAACCCTTGGCCGGAATTTTTGTTCATTATCATAACAAAATCTACGCAGCGCAAAATTAATATCCACATATGAATACGAATTAACAATGTACTCAATAGTTTCAATAATTTCACCAAACGAATATATTTCGTAGCTGTCAAGTTACAATGACAAACTTTCATGCCTGAGCGTATGAAAGTTGAAGTTAACCGATTGCTTCATTTTATTCACCACTTCGAGTGCAAAACGAAATAAATCAACAAGATTCCAGTATACTGATATGTGACTTTAAAGTTACACGGCCGAAAGTAACGCGCCTCGAGACATCCCAACACTATCCCCACTCGTCTGCTCAATGATAAACTCGAACCACTGGAATCCTCGCGTGATCGTCAAACTCACGGCGAAACTGCCAGAAGGATGGCTATCCTCGCGTTAAAAACTATCCCTCTCGCCGGAAGTAACACACAGAAACGAGCGTGTCGACGGTCGAAGGGAAAATAGAGGAGAAAACTGTCCCGGCGGTCGCGTGTCACGAAACGAGAGAACCGGAGAAGAGAAAGCCACGAACCTCTTGGTCGTACTTGTCGACGAGCTCGTCGGTGATCGCCTCGTTCGACGCGACATCCTCGTCGGAGTCGTTGACGGTGATCACTTCCCGCGAGTCGAAGTTGTTCGCGGCCGGCGCGGTCCCGTCCGCGAGCAACGCTGCCGCCGCGG